AGTGCATGAGATTCCCAGAAGATTTTCCTTTCTGGACACAGTGACCGCTTTGTTTGAGGAGTATCCATTGCTACAAGCCATACCCAAATATCTTTGAGAATTTATCCAGCCCCATGCTCTCTGCCTAGCCCAACTGTGCCCCTAGACTTGTGGCCTCTTTAGAGTCTGTGATTCCCCCAGATACATATACAGTCAGCAAGTTTGGAGTCACATCAACATAGCAGGACAGCAGACGTAGCCCGAGGCCCTTGGCTTAGCTTCTTCAGGCAGCAGCAGCAGCTCTGGACTGTCCAGGAAGCCAGTGTGCTAGGCTGGACAGCAGCACGCTTTGTTCATCTGCTGAGTACAGCATGTCTCCCAGGGATGAAATCTGAGATGGCCCTGTGAAGAAGATACCGCATCACTGCTGTTTGGCCCCCTTCATTTGGGACATTTTTGAGGCTGCTTCAGAATAGTTCTTTCCACTCTTCTCTATTTCTCCTGTCTCTGGAATTTTTGATGGAGTTCACCCCGAACCACCCTTGTCACACTCTCTACATGGGCCTGCATAGGACTTCTCAGCCAAGCAGTCATTGTCCCAGATCACAGCACCAATTCCCACAGGGCCCACTCCTGTCACCTGATAGCAACAGCTTGTATGTGTCACTGCAGTCATTGAGGCCAACCTGTGCACCCAGGGGCTGGTGTTTACAAAGGTGAGTGGATTCCTGGGTTTCTGAGCCCCAAAGCCTCATTTTCCTCCAAGGCCTGGCCAGCATTTTGCTGTTTTTTTTGTTTTGTTTTGTTTTTTGTCGCTTGTGGGGGCTGAACTCTGTGCCTGGGTGCTGTCCCTCAGCTCTTCAGCTCAAGGCTAGCGCTCTACCACTTGAGCCACAGCACCACTTCCAGCTTTTTCTGCTTTTGTGGTGCTGAGAAATCAAACCCAGGGCCTCATGCATGCAAGGGAAGCATTCTACCACTGAGCCACCTTCCCAACCCTGGTTTTTGTTTTGGGGCTGTTTGGGTTTTATTTTTTATTTTTATTTTATTTTATTTTTGCAACCTATCTTGTGCCGTTCATCATTCTATTTCCACATAGGTCTCAATCCCTTGGGCCTGTCTCCAGACATGGTGACAATTACTGTCTAAATGGAAGTCTAAAACAGGAAAGGAGATAGTGGGTATAGTAATTAAAAGAATGTATTTTTAATATTTCTTCTTTTAACTAGAATTGCTTCTTTTAGACTTTGTTCTGGTTAATGTTAGAAAGTATACATTTTCTTAAGTATTAATGCATTATCCCTCACTTTTCTATATTCAAACAATTTCTTTCATTTTCAATTTGTGGCTAAACTATTTTGTAAACACTTAATTTTCCATGCACTATTGGAATTATGCCTTTACCACTTTGAAATTCCAATCTTTAATTCCACCAATCCGTTTCCTACACTAGGCATTGAATATATTCTATCCAATAGGAAAAAAATATGCATTACTAACATAGATTATGTACTTGCTTGTGAATCTGCTTAAAATGGAACATGCTACATACAGCCATAAGGAAGACTCACAGAGGAGACAGCATTGTAAACAATTCTTAGACACTAAAAACTGATTTAAGTACCATAGGGAAAGAAAAGAAGTATTCATTCTCTGAACCATTTACTGAAGAACTAGAAAGAATGAAATTTTAAATCCAAGTTCTATGTTCAGATCCTCTCCTGCCATAATTGATGGATAACCTGGACAAATCATTTAACTTTTGCCTCCCCTTCATTGTAGTGGAAGGCTTTTCTAGATGCCAGGAACTGGGTAAGTGCTTACTATCTGTAACTAATGCTATCCTCAGAACACCCACAAGATTGGCTTTCTTATTAGGCCCATTTAACAAGGAGGATCATAGCACTCAAATCAGAGGGTGAAGATAAAGTAAGATCATCCGCTGAGCTTTTAGAATGACGCTTGGCTCATTGCAGGTGCACAGTAAGTCTAAATCATGACTCTCCTGTGTTACAGAGGTAGGTACTGAGATTTGCAGCTGCCCAGTACCTTCTGAAGGCATCACCTGTGATGATTAGAGAACCCATGGTATGGCCTCAGGTTGTTGAGCTTCCCTACCTCTCTCCAGAGCCCTGTAGGAGAAGACACACTGAGAAAGCAAGTGCAACAATTGTTTTATTCTTTCTCATCATAGCCCCCATACCAGCTCTTGAAATGACCCTCTGCCCAGGGGAAATCCTGCCTTCACACCCTGGTTGTGGGACTGGGATCCTGGAGGCATGAGGGGCTTCCTAAAGCAGTCCAGGCCTCCCACATGGCTCCTGGTGGGCCTTGCATCTGGGCTGCAGTAATCCAGCCTCTGGCTCAAGCAAATCAACAGCTTCCTTTGCTTAGCTGGGCTACCACAGCTCCTAGTCAAGGCTCCTTGGGGACAAAGTGCATAGCAACCCAATTTAAACTGCCATAGCTCCATGAGTAAAGTACATCCTGAAAGCACAGGTAGCATGTCAAGAACACAGAGGAAACCTAGGAGACCTTCTGAAGCGCTAACCATCTGGGAGGGACAGCATGGCAGGGAACTTAGGCGTGGGCCAGACAGCTCTCTGCAGTGGCTTCCTCAGAGTAGAAGAGAAAGCCCAGGATTTGGTGAGAGATGCTTGGTTTCTACCTATATGACATGCTGTTTAACTCAAGAAAGCCACATAACGCCTCTACCTACCTATAGGACTTCTTTCTGGACAGTTTGGTAATGTTGTCAACCCATTTAGAATAATGTGAAAGTGTCTATCATCAGGAAAATAAAAGGGTTGGTGTAGAGCAGGTTATCAATCTTGACCACATGCTCAAATCAACTGAGCAAGTGCTAGAGCCTCACTCCTGACTAAATATATCAGAGCTTCTGGTGGAGGCTCTGGTGCCATCAGGTAACGCTCCATGGGCCTTGAATGTGCAGCCGGACTGGGCGCTTCTGATCAAGACCTCCATGTTTCCTTTCCAATGCAACAGTGTTCCTCTGAGCATGTTCATAGGGTTGTAATGAGGGGAAGATTTTCAGTGCTACTGAGAGTTCACCTCATGGGTCTGTGTTTCTTGGGCAATGTCCCTTAGTTCTTATTCTATCCACTAGGGCCTTGGAAGATACTCCTGAGTATCTTCAGATACTCCATACTTCTGCCTGCTGTCTAGCTTCCTGCTCTGTCTTTAGCATTGTTCCCTGGCTTATCAAGTGTCATTTCTCTTGGCCTCTGGAAGAGACTGTGGAGAAAAGCACTCACTGTCCAGGCATAGAGAGGAGCGGAAAGGTACCTGCTACCTCAGGCCTCAACCCGAGGTTCAGAGGCAGTCACCTCTTTATTTTCCTGCTCCCTTGGGAGCACCTGTCATCGATGGACAGGAGTGGGTTGGGGAACATGACTACAGATGACACCATTCTCATACTGTGGCTCAGGGAACAGAGAAACCCTGGAGATCACATCAACCAGTCTGCGGAGAAGAAAGGAGGCAAAATAATAATAAGAAGAAGAAGAAGGGTCTTCTTTTTAAAAAAAAAAATCGGTCATGGGGCTTGAACTTGGGGCCTGGGTGCTATTTCTGAGGTTTGTTCACTCAAGGCTAGTGCTCTACTACTTTGAGCCACAACTCTTCTTCCAGTTTTCTAGTGGTTAATTGGAGATGAAAGTCTCACACTTTCCTGCCCAGACTGGCTTCAAACCTGATCCTCAGATCCCAGCCTGCTGAGTAGCTAGGGTTATAGGCATGAGCCACCAGTACCCAGCTAAGGGTCTGCTTGTTTGGACCTCTCACACCACCACCTGGACCATACTGGTGAACAGGAAGAAGACATGAGAAAATCATCCTATAAAAATAAATCAACATGTACTCATTACCTTATTCATGTAACTGTAACCCCCCTGGACAGTATCCTTACAATAATATGTATATAATATAAAAAATAAATCACACTTCCTCTTTACCTTTCTGGTGGAGGTGGTGTGTAACAACCTTACCACTATTTTTTTTTCCATCTAGGCCATGAAAGTTAAAAATTATTAGTAAGCTAGATGCCAGTGGCTCATATCTGTAATCCTAGCTACTCAGGATGCTGAGACCTGAGGATTACAGTTCAAAGCCAGCCTGGGAAGGAAAGTCTCTGAGACTCTTATCTCCAAGTAATCACCAATAAAGCCAAAAGCAAATAAGCTCAAGGGACAATGCCCAGGCCCTGAGGTCAAGCCCCAGAATTGGCACACTTAAAAAAAAAAAAAAGAAAAGAAAAGTCACCAGTAAATTTTCACCTAAAAGGGCTTAAATAATCCAAGCAAAGGGCTGAGTGCTGCATTTTAAATATAGTCTCGTCCTTGAAAGTTTGGGTCAAATAGATAATGCCAGGAAAGTAGGGAGTGTATGCAAACTGCTTCCATGCTTAAAAATGCAGTCATCTCTCTCTAAGTATGAGCTCACAATGCATAGTACATGCCTACATGGGACATTTCTAGAAGGATACAGGGTTCAGAGTATAGATATTAGAAGTCTATGGTGGCTCAAAGATTCATTTTTTCATAGTTTTCTCACTGTTTTCCCTTTGTATCTTATGCAAGCTATTTCATATGTAATTATCAAACATATACAGACACCTAAGTACTGATCTATGAAGGCCAGAAGAATCTATGGATAACCCAATTCTATGCTTTTATATAGGACTTTCAGCTGGTTACCTTCAGCTATGCTCTTCAATACTCTGGGTAGGACTCATTTTCAATACAAGCTTTATTTACAATTTTTGAAAGCCCAACTTTGCTTTCCTCCACCCCCGTGCTGATTTGGGGAGGAGGAAAAAGAAAAAGACAAAAGTAAACAGGTCTGAAGTTCCACCTCCTTGTTGAAGTTCTTGGGATTCATGAAATCTGTGCTGTGAACCTTGCCTTCTCCTGTGACTCATGCGTTGCCATCTGTGAGCTGGGCATGCAGCAGTGATCTCCAAACAGAATCCCTGTAGTAGCACTGTGCTCCTTTCTACCCAGGTACCTGCTGGAACAGGATTTCCCGGGCATGAGGATTGGGCCTGAGCCAACCACTGACTCCTTCATTGCGGTGATGCAAGGGGATGTGGAGGGGATCATACCTGGGAATGCCCTGGTAGTGGATCCCAAGAAACCCTTCAGGAAACTCAATGCCTTTGGCAATGCCTTCTTGAACAGGTGAGTGGATGGGGTCACATGTCATTTTCTCCTTGCTTCTTGGCATATGTAAAGGGTAGGGTGACAGTGATATGGTCTTGGGAGACTCCATGCTTTTCCCATATTGGAGCCTCTTGATCCTCCTTAACTTGTTAGGAATATAGCTAAGTCAGTCTCCATAGTGGGATGTGGGAAGTGCAAATGATGGGCTTGACTGTTCATGCTCAAGGAATGGGGAAGGGTATGACCGTGACTCTGGAACACATGACTGTAACCTACCCCTTCCTGCAGGAATCGTGGAGAAGGATGCTGTATGTTTCCCAATATTTGTCTATACCATTTCTGGGATTTGCACTCAACTGGAAAGGAATGGAAGGTTCTTTCCTTTTCTCCTTGTTCCTATTCCTGAGTATTTCTTCTACTTCATACAAAGAACTCTGGATTTAAGGGAGAAGTCATGGGTTTGAGCATTGACTCTTCCTGCTAAACTCCCTTTGTGATTCTGAACAGGTCACCTTCCTGTCCTCCTGCTGGGATAAGATCAGACTTGCAGATAACCAAGGTCATCATGAGAATTTAAGTAGACACAGCCCTAAAGAGTACAAGCTAATCTGAAATATTCTTATTCTGCATAACTAGGATGCAGGCTGATCCCTGATGATACTAGCTGTACCTAAAAATCCTATTTTTCCATGTAGATTGCACTTAATAATTTAAATTTTTTCTAATTGGAAGTATTTAGAGTAAAAGAATATGGGCTTTGGCTTCAAGTACATATGGGCTCAAATTGTGCCTTCTCCTGTGGATCTTGGATAAGTTACCAAATTTCCTTGTATTTACCCATCTTAAAGTAGGATAAGAGTAATGACTTTTCTCAAGGAGATGTAAATAAGATTCTGAACAGAAAGCACTGAGTGTCCAGCATGTAGTGACCAATAGGAAATGTTAAGTTCTGATAGCATTATTAGCATGTGCTTTTTTATTATTCAGTGAGGAAAATGGGCTTCTGCTATTGTCATTTTGCAGTTGTAGAAGTTGAAGCTCATTGCCCAAAGGCTGCTCAACTTCTCTTCTTACTTCTTTTAGGAAGGGGGAGATCTTTCTTAAAGTGACATGGAGTCGAATGCACTGGGACAGGCATGGGTGGGGGTCCATGTGAACAGTGTAGAACTGTAAGCTGGCAGAGTGTGCTTCCAGAGCAGGAATTGGAGGAAGGGTATGTTTTGAGGAGAGTTGGTTGGGAGGTGGAGGAAGGGAAAGGGTGTTAGGTGTATATACAGGAGGCGGCTGACTCAGCATAAATTGAATCAGCATCAGCAGAGGGAGGTACTGGTGGTATATAGGTGTACTGTGACAAGGGTCCTGAAGTCTTGCAGCATCTATAATACTGGGGCTGGCTCATGGTGAGTGGGGTTAACAGCACCCAGAATGCTGAAACATAGAACTGAGATGAGCAGGATGAGCCTGCTGGAGAAGAATGAGTCAGCACAGTGCACAGAGCAGAAGCAGCTGGGGAGGGGTGATGACATGTTGGGCATGTCCAGTTGGCCCTGGATAACTATCAGTCAGCTAAGGTGGGCATCTCTGAGGCAGAGAGGAGGAGCTGGCCCAGGAGAGAGGAGGGAAAAGCCTGGGTCAAGCGAGGGGTAATATGGCATCCTGGGAAGGGAGGATTGCAAGCTTAGTGGTTAACTCACTTTGGGATAGCTGCGCGCATGATGATAATGATAGATTGTATTATACAAGGAGCAGATAGTCTGTTATAACAACAGGATATGTGTCATTGCTGTCATAGCCAGAGCAGTTCCCAGAGGAGAGAGTCATTGTATTGTTCACCAAACTCATCAGGTCTCGATTTCTGCATAGTTAGAGGTTTTGAAACCAAGAAGTGTCTTAATGAGACTGGGAAGACAGTTAACCTCTTTGCATATTAATATCATCATCTATAAAAATGACAGAATGCAAACTACAAATTCTCCGTATCCCAATCTCTTCCTGTAAATATAGCATAAAGGAAATCTGAGAGTCAGGTAAGTTGGCTCATACCTAGAATCCCAGCTACTTGGAGAGGCAGAAGTCAGGAGGATTTCAGTTCAAGGTTACCTTCAGGAAAAAATGTTCTCAGGATTCCATCTCAACAAAGAAGCTGGATGTAGTGGTTCATGTATGTGAGTTCCAGCTGTTTGGGGCAGCATAGGTAGGAAAATAGCTGTCCAAAGCTCACCCCTGTCCCCCAGGAAAAGAAATGTGAGAAACTAGGGGAGCATGAATGGTTTACCATGGCTTTGATTTCCATGCAGGTTTGTGTGTGCCCAGCTGCCCAATGCTGTGCTGGAGAGCATCAGTGTCATTGATACACCTGGAATCCTCTCTGGGGAGAAGCAGAGGATCAGCCGAGGTAAGCATCATAATTTGGGAATGTGTTGGCTCAGTCTTCATGCTTCCTTTTGATAGGGGCTGGGATTATATGTTCCTTTGTGTCAGAAGAGATGCATCCAGGGTCTTGCCTCCCATGGTAAGATGGCTCTCCTGTGCTATGTGGGGCCATTTTGTGGGAGGACATTTCTAGGCTGGGACCAACAAATGAACTCAAGACATTTGGAGACTAGTTTCAATCTGGTCATCTGTAAAATGGGACACTGAAGTCTGCCTTACTCATAGAGTTTACTCATCCTCCAAGAGGTCCGTAGCCTGGCTACTTAAGTTCCTGCCATCCAGAGCTGGGGCCTACAGCTCTGTGGGGAAGGCAAATACATAAAGAGACAGTGTTCAACAAGTAGAAAGAGTGCTCTTGGCCAAGGTAATAATGTGCTTGGGTCATACAGCAAGGGAACCAGGCATCTAAGGGCACATTGAAAATTGTTTGCTCCAAACAAATTCAGGAAAATTGCTTGCTAAGAGAGGTCACCGGGCAGGCCATTAGGAGACAGAACTCTGGAGCCAACTGATAGGTTCTAGACCAATCTCTGCCCTTTTCTAAAAGAGGACTCCCTGGGGAGTTTCCCTTAGCTTTACTTCAGTTCATCTTGTAGAGTGTAGAATTGTTTGAGGATTAAAAGAAATAATATATCTTTCTTGCTAAAATTCTATTTTGTAAATATACCACATTTTTTTTGATCAACACAGTCGTCCACTGAGGGGCATCTGGGAAGATTCCATATTTTGGCTATGGCAAATAATACTGCAGTGAATATGGTTGTGCTAGTAGCTTTAGTATGGCCTGGTTTGTGGTCTATCAGATAAATGCCCAGGGTCATAGGGCATTGCTGGGTCATAGGGAAGCTCTATGTTTCGTCTTTTGAGGAATCTCTGTATTGTTTACATTCCCACTAACAGTGTAATAGAGTTCCCTTTTGGCCACATCTATGCTAACATTTGTTCATGTTAGTTTTATTGATAATGGCCATTCTAACTGAGGTGAGGTAGAATTTCAGTGGTGTTTTGATTTGCATTTCTTTTATGGGCAGATATGTTGAACATTTCTTCATGTGTCTATTGACCATTCTTCCTTCTTCTTCTGAGAAGTCTTTCTTAGCCCATTTATTAATTGGGTTGTTGTTCCATTTGTAAGGAAATGGAAAGACTTGGGAAAATTATATTAAGTGAAGTAAGCCAGACCCTTATTTGTGGTAGCTAAAAGGTGCCTATAAATCCACAGGCCAACACATTGGATAGTAAAACAGGGAAAAAGGGACATGGTAAATTATACAGGTCTTTAGGCATTCACAGACAGTGAGAGCAGTGGAGTATATTCTTAGGAGATGAATACAAAGGTGCAATTCTTATGTGCATGTGATAATATAAAATAATAATATCAAAATAAGCCCCAGGAAATGGAAACAAGAGGTTTTTTCTTTGTTGCTGTTTTGGTTTTCTTTTCCTTTGTCCTGTTTGTATGTTTTTCTGTCCTTGGGAGGGCAGTAGGGGGGAAGGGTCACAGAAATGGAAGGACAGAGGGTGAACAAATGCAGCCATGGTACTCACTAGACACTGTTGAAAATGAACCATGCAACTTGTAGATGGGGATGGGAGGGAAAAACGGAAAGAGAGCAAGGGAAGCAGTGACATTGTCCAAAAAGAAATATACTCACTACTTGACTTATATAACTGTAACCCTTCTGTACATCTCATTTACAGTAACAATTAAAAAAACATGAAGAAAAAAACAAAATATAGGTCAAAATGTATTCTGTTAGGCAAATCACAAATGTGCAAGCAAGTTGAAGTGTCATAGGTCCTCATTACAATCATCCATCATCACCCGCATCACTACCATCATCACCACCACCACCACCACCATCATCACCTCTACCACCATTATCACTATCATCATCCACCATGATTTGTTTTTGTTCTTTTTTAGCTTTTTAAGACACTAGGTTGATCCTGTAGAAAGCTAAAAGCAACTGCTCCAGGATCCCCACCTCTTGCCTCTCCTGCCACATTTTCTGTGTACCCTGAGTGGCTCCCCACCCTTTTTTGTGCCATGTGTTATATCTCTGGCGAGAAATCAGATGAGCCGCACCCACCTCGATCCTGGAGCGGGGAGCTGGGCCCAGAGCCAAATCAGCACTTGGAAGTCAGCCTCCGGGAAGGGGCGGCTTTGGACTGGCAGCTTTCTCTGGGACTGTTTCCTGAGCTGACCTCAGGTTACATCTATTACATCTGCCTCTCTGTGGCATGCGCTTCAACCCTCTGTGTTCTATAGCTTCAGCTGGGGCAGACCCAGATCTGTCCTGCCTACGTCTGTGCTGTTGTAATGGAGGCCCAGGAACTCCTTCCTCCAAGGGCATAGCCTGCTCAGTCCAGCTCCCACTCACCTCAAAGGGACATCACAGGACAGTAGACAAGTTCTCTTGTGGCTGTGGAAAATGGAGACTCGGCAGTGAGGGCCCTCAGCCCAGGTGAGGCCTTTCAAGCCAGAGCTGGGTCCTGTATCTTTCTGGAAGCAGCACCTCTCTTCCAACCAATAGCAGGCGTAGGGCTGGAGGCTCAGATTGGCTCTCTGGGGGTGTCCCGTCAAGTAGCAAGCAGTCTGCTTGAGGCCTGCTGACCCCAGAGCAGCTTTCCTGGAGCATGTGGGGCTGCTAAGATCCTGAGCAGGAACTTCTCCTCCCGAGACGTGAAACCTGGGAAGCAAAGAGGAAGGAAGCAGCTGAGTCAGGAGGAGGTTTGGAAAACTGTGTTCATAATTTTTATAATTTGTGACTCCTGGGAGAAGTCTGGGGAACCTGAGTCTACCAGCGGCCTACGTCAAGGCTGTGGTGAAGGTAAGGGGTAGGGGCCAGTCTGAAGCTGTAGAACCCTGGACCTAGGAAAAAAAGGTGTCTTCATTCTGGCCTCCTCTTGTCTCTATCACTTGGCTTCCTGCTCAGGTTCCTGTGGAGGGCGGCTTTGGGGTCCTAGGTCTCAACACCACTTCCCTCCCAAAGTGGTTCATCTGAGCAATCCTCAGTTAGGCCCAATGAGATTTAGAATCTCACACAGAGGGCTGAGAGAGCCAGAACCTCTCCAGCGAGCAGAAGGGAGGTGTGCGCATGTGCCCCTGCCAGGCCAATGCCACCTGACGGTGGCATCCAGAAAGGATTCCAGCCTGAGATATCTAAAGGCATAGGATTTCAGAGTCCTGGGCTTCAGAACCCAGCACTCTGTGGATCTGAACCGGTCACGTTTTACCTGAGCCTCCATTTCCCTGTATGTAACAGGGGAGTGGATAATGTAATGTGTGATTTAGCCTTCTGGTGAGGTCCGCTGAATACTATGGGAATTCAGACTTTGAGGCTGGGTCTGGATGATGGCAGGCTCCCTTCTTTCCTCCTTATCTGCCATCCAGGGCTGCATGTTATACATCCTCAGAGTATTGATGTGTGTCGTCTCCCTTGAAGTTGTGGAGTGCTTGGCCCATGCCACTGTATGTGGCAGTTTTGTCCCCAGAGACTCCTGCCCTATTCAGTTTCTATACCATTCTGTCCTTTTCCCAGTTCTCTACTTCCTTTCATACCTGTGGCTTTGGTCTTCTGTGGCTGCCCTGCACATACCAGGTGTTGGTGTTTTTGCCTGTTCTTCCTGCCACTTCCTCCCCACGCTCACCAAGCCCCAGGCCCTGCCTCTCTCTGGGCAAAGCGGTGGCCCTGTGTGTTCTCTGCCCTTCCCAGTCCAGACTAACGTAGCTGCTGGCAGAGAGACTGTGATACAAACAAGAAGCTGGGAACCAGGCGCCTGCAGTACTAGCCTGGGACAGTGCTGGCCACAGCCCTCTGAGAACAGGGGAATCTGGACGTCGGACACTGTGAGGGGGACCCCAAATGAGGAGCGTAGCCCACATTCCATCTCAGACCACACACACACACACACACACACACACACACACACAGAGTACTTTCTGCTTTCTTCCAGCTTCAGGACAGTCTAGGCCCCCTGTGAACAGCCCCACAGATCATGCTATGCACAGGGCACTAACTGAGAACTGTATCTGACCAAAAACTCAGACTGCATTCTACCCCCTGAGCCTCATGCCTGCCACAGGACTGTTTTCTCACCAGAGAAGTCAGCACAGAGGCACCATGCTGCCATGCTAGCTTGCCCCTTCTGCAAAGTGGGCTGTTCCCAAGAGCCCCCAGGTCCCGAGACTTCATGGGGAGAAGTACTCGTACCCCACACTAGAGCCCAACAAAGTAAGGTCCCTGCTCAAGATGGCATGCTGTGTGGGGTTTTGTGTGTGTGTGTGTGAGTGTGTGTGTGTGTGTGTGTGTGTGTGTGAGTGTGTGTGTGTGTGTGTTGCATGGGGAGGTCATGGGTGCGGGGAAGCCAGGACTAGGAGGTCCCAGGCCGGCACTTGTCTCTGGATGATGATGCATTGGAATAGACAGGAGAGGCGGGCAAGGAGGCAGTTCCTGGAAGAGCCAGGATGTACCAGGGCAGGCTGAGTGCTGGGAAAGAGCAAGGTTGCAGCCATGGGAGGCTCCAGAAGGACTGAGTCCTTTCACTTGGGAAGCACATTTCCTGGCTGCTTGTCAGCTAGAAATCCCCACCAACCCCACCCGAGGAAAGCCACCCTGGGGCTTTGTGGCTGCTTCCCAGATTGCATAGCTGGCAAATCCTTTCTATTACAGGTGCCGTGTAGGCTCAGAGCAGGTAACAGACAGCCCAGGTCCCATTCAGCAACTTTTCAGTCCAATGTCATCTCCTGCCCAGGAAATCGCAATGGTTAAGCCTGAGAGCAGACCTCGAACTTGGTACCTGATGCTTTGCTCATTGGGTGGAACTTACCAACATCCAAGCCTCCCACCCCTAGAGAGAGCAGACCTCTCATCTATGAGTGTCCTCTGGAGGCTTTGGGACTCAGACCTTGGAGGGTTTTGCCGCTCCTCACAGCCTTACATCCTTGGTCTGTCCCTGGCACATTCACTGCAGCTGGGCTGGCATGTAGGGGCCCCTGGAGTCCACTGGTCTATGTGCTGGTCGGCAAATGCCCATGTGGGTACTGACAAGCCTGGGCAGAGCAGCCAAGCCCTGACATCTTTCTGTAGGCCTCACTGGCAGCTTTGGTTGACTGGAGGCCAGTGATGAGTCTGCTGGCCACTGTGGCATCCAGTGTGGCATTTGTTCCCCATGGCCAGTCAAATCCTTCTCTTCAGCTAACTTGCTTTCAAATCTTCACAGAGATTTAGGGGAGAGGGATAGTTGTGTGCTTGATATGTGAACTCAGTCTTTGAGTTCCAGGCTCATGCAGGACAGTGAGCTAAGAAGAGAATATGGACCTGGTTTCTAGGCCCAATTTGTGACAACTAAACAGTATGAGCTTGGGTTAGCCCCTTACCCTCTCTGTGTCACTGCTTGCTGCCTGTAAGGTGTGTGCCCTATTCTGCTTCTGGCTCCTGGGGCATTATGGGAGAAAATCAAATGAGGTTGGTCATGCTGCCTCCATCATCAGTGCCCTGTACCACATTCAGACTGAAGGAAGATGCTGGGTGATTAAGGAGTGCCTTTGCTTATTAGGTTTGTCTCATTGATTTCCTCCTAGGCAGCATTGCTTAGACACACTGTCTTCCCACCACCCTTCCTCCCCCTGGAGCAGGGATGGGAGCTAAAGGCCAGCGGCCGCCCAGGCTCCAACGTGGAGCCAGTCGCCGGATCCCTTGGAGCCAGCAGATGTGCTGGGAGGGATCCAGGAAAGGCAGCCAATGCACACAGTCTATGCTCCCTCTGCTTCTTGATTTAGGAACTTGGGGTGGCTGCTCAGCAGGTGCTTTAAAGTGCTTATTTCCTGTCTTCAGAGCTGTTCCTGGGTCCAAGGAAGGGAAGAGGCTCCATTACCCGGCATGCCATTAATCCTGGACATTAGGGCAGTATCTATACTGAGTCCACTCATCTGAATTGTCTACTGTTTCTGTGGCTCCACCATAGACCCCTCATTCAGCCAGCCATTATTTCCATTTCTAACCTGAGGAAACTGACCTGCACAGGCCACAGGAAACAAACAGGAGAGCTAACTCAATCTGCTTTTCTTTACGTAGACCTTTCAGATGCCTCCATTCCTGGGCATGCACACAAGTCTAAGCTACAGAAGCAGATTTATGTCCAGCCTAGAGGTTCCATAGGCTCTGGCTTAGCCGGAGTAGAGAGGCATCAGAAGAACCCACAGAGCTGTTTTATTCTCATGGACTTCTCAGCCATTGAGGGAGAAGGCTTCTACCATGATAGCCCACCATTTGATAGCAGCTTACCAGACCTTGCAGAATTTGCAAAAGTAGGCAGATGACCAAGAGGCCTCTGTGCTTATGAAATTATAGAAAAGGTTCCCAGAAGTCATCTGTCTGTCTGCAGATAGGAGCAGACTTCACATGCACATGTCCAAGGCACCTAAGAAAGCAGTCTCCAGTCTTCCTTCTTCACTGGGCTGCAAAAGCATCCTCCTATCTAATATCCATCCATGTCCATCCTGCTGCATTCTCCAACATCCTACATTCTGTCCTAGGATTTGTGGACCAAGAAAGGAAGCTCAGAGAAGCAACCCGGTTCTATGACTTGGCAAGCAAAGAGGTGAAGGCTCAGAGAGGAGAGGCTACTTGCCCAAGGACACTCAGCAAGATACTGGCTGGCAAGAAACTAGAGAGGGACTCACCCGAGGCCAGTGCTTCTTCAAGAACTGCTTTAGGGAGTGGTTCCTCTCATGGCAACTAGTGCAGAGAAGAACACGTTATAAAGCTAGTGGGGCAGTGAGAGCTGCCAAGGTCACAACTGAGCTATTTCACCTACATCCTTTTCTTGGGTTTGATCTTTGCAGCAACCCTGTGACCCGCATACTGATGGGTTCTAAGTTAGAGAACAGAGACGACTCCTTTGCTCTCTCTCGGCTGTACCATGAAGAACAGGATTCCTGTTTTACTCCTCTTCAACCAATACTTCTCAAAATTAGCAGGGCCAGAGAGCAGAGGTCAAGCATCTTCTTCAGACAACTGCATGGCCTGGACCTGCTTCTCAACCCTCTGTAACCTCCACGTTCTTGTCAGTCTGGCCACCCTGGCCATGTATGTGCTGCTGAGCCCACGTATGGCCAGCCACATAGGTTTGCTGCATAGGTGAAAGGGGACAGCATTCGCCTCCCAGCTTACACATGTGTACGCCCTCCCCCTCACACACACACCTCCCCAACCCTGTGGCTTGCATCACCAGCCTATGGTGGCAAACCTTTCTGCTCCAGACATGAGAGCAGCAAAATTGTGACCTGTTTTCAAGGATGGGGCAGAGAGTGGAGGCTGTCCTGGTTTTTGGAGCCCTGTGACCTCTTTCCAGCCTTTGGGAACACCCTGCTTTGGGGCTGGAGCTGTCCCTGCAGTGGGGAGGAGAGAGGTGAGGGGAGCAGACAGCAGCCCACCTGGAGCGGGAAGGCTTGGCCTCCTGGACACCGCATGCTGGGAGGGAGGTGCCAGCTGGGTGGACAGCAGGTACCCTGAGGCTGCCGCATAGGTCACTGTGGGCAAGGGCACACAAGGCTCCACTGCAGACCAGCTTTTACTTGCCTGGTGTTTAACTCCCCACTCTCAGAGTCTCATCTCTCCTGTAGACCTGAGCATGCTGCCTCTCCTGCTGCCTACCTCTGAGGATATGATAGGGGTGAAATGAAGTCATGGAGGGCACTTGCCCACACTGATCTTGATGGGATCAGGTCCCATGGCAGGATAGTCGTGACTGACCATCTCTGATTGGGATTGATAATGGGCTCTACACACTCTCTCTCTAAGATCTCCTGGCCTCAGGGCTCTGCCCCACCTGAGTTGTAGAGAAAAATCCTGGGTTAATTAAGTAGCCAACACCAAGGAGGAATTCATTGGCGATAATGCCCAGAAGCCCTTCATCCACAGGAGAGTAATACAGGAGGGCTGTTAGATTTCTTTGTTGGTCAGGGCTCTCTTTTGGTGCTGGGAAGCACTAAAGGATCCTTTGGGGAACTCTGTGGCAGAAGACTGTCCTGTTCACGCTAAGCCCATCCCCTGCCCTGAAGATGCTGCTGTGACACGGTTATAAATGGATCTCCAGGTACTGAGAAGATGGCCATCTCTCTGGCTTACCCCATTTATCCTCACCACCACCACCACCACCATCATCACCACCCAGTCTAAGTCTGTGATTAACCCTTCAAAAGCCAGGCACACTGACAGCTAACAGCTCTGGCTCCAGACCACCTTCCTGGTTCTCAAACACAGCCCTACCACCTACCTCCTTGAGTCTCTGGCTACTACTAGATTCCACTTCACAAGGTCATTGTGAGGATTAAGGAATTAGTGATTATAACGACAATGAGTTAATCTAATCCAATTAGTGATCTGAGTAGTTCTGGGCACCTAGTGAATGCTGCTAATGCTGGTCATTAGCCTTTATTATTATGGTGGTCCAGTGGTCCTCAGTGTGCTCTGAGAACCAGTAGCTGCAGCATCTCCTGGGAGCTTGTTAGAAATTTCCACCCTATTCCCTCTGGGTCAGAAAGTTGGGGAGTAGGCTCCAGCTTCCTGGGTTTGAACAAGCCCTGCAGGAGAGTCAGACCAGGCTGCAGCAGAGATCCCCATTAGAAGCAGAGCTTCCCAAGTCTCGCTTGGCCACAAAGCACTTACCAAATGACCTTGCCTGGTGTCTAGATTCAATCTGTGAGGCAGGGCTTTTCCCTGAAGGCTTGGTTTTCCCACTTAATGGTAACAACAGCTTTGGGGGTCCAGGGTGTATCACCTTGTGTTTTGGGGAGCCAAGGCTGTGGGTCATGCCAGAGCCCAAGAAAGAGTACTCGCTTTGGTGCCAGCGGTGTACCAATAGGGAAGTGGCAGAAAGGGGATCCTAGGAGTTCTGCTCAGATGCGGGCTGGGAAAGCCTGAAACCTCTATTCTCATTGAGGATTGTGGGCCCTTGAACCAGTCCCCTCACCTCTCTGAGCTCCCTTCCTCTTAGTGTCGCCTGTTTTGTGGAAGAGGATGCTGAGGCAGACAAAGCTAAGGCCATTACAAGCTCTAAGCCTTGGTGAGCTACATATTATTGGGACCCCTCCCCCTCTAACATCTCCACCATTTCTTAGGGTTGAACAGAGCCAGGGGCTCCAGAGCCAGCCAGACTTGAAGCAGCTCAGTCCTGCATAATCAAAATGTGGCCATCCTCAGTCACATCCTCAGAACCCCCTCGTGGATTAAGAATTGGGGATTCTGGGCTGCAGCAGATAAGGGCGGGAGGGAAGGAAAGAGAAGGAAGGAGGGCAGAAGGAAGGGAGGCAGCCTAAGTGTGAACAAGTAGTGTGTATTTATAGCAAGAGCTCCAAACCACAGGATGAGCATGGTTGGAGCCATCCATCAGTAACTTGCATTTTCTGTCCTGTTGTTTGTGGATCTCATCAAGAATTCCTGAACTTCAAATTAGGTAGCCAGCATTGAAGGTGGCTGGCTGCTAATTTGAATAAGCAAGAAGAGCTGCAGAGTGGCTGTGCTTATTAGGAGTAGGATGTTTATAATAAAGTCTAGAATTTACGGAGAGCCTAAGTATTGGGCTGTAGGTGATTTAATCCTAGCCCTCATGTTAATTAGACACTGTACAATGCCAGTTTCTTTTAGCTGGGGGAAAAAAATAACCCACGCTCAGTGGTAGTGCCCTTGCCTAACATGCATCAGATCCTGGGTTCTATCCCTAATGCTTAAAAGAAAATGTCTTTTTTTTACTGCACTTGGCTTCTCTTCTTCCAAACCCCACACCCCAAAGACCCCTCCCACTGATTGTCCTTCTGCCGGCAGGGTATGACTTTGCAGCCGTCCTAGAGTGGTTTGCGGAGCGGGTAGACCGCATTATCCTACTTTTCGACGCCCACAAGCTGGACATCTCTGACGAATTTTCAGAGGTTATCAAGGCCCTCAAGAACCACGAGGACAAGATGCGGGTGGTGCTGAACAAGGCTGACCAGATTGAAACACAGCAGCTGATGAGGGTGTATGGGGCCCTCATGTGGTCCCTGGGGAAGATTGTGAACACCCCAGAAGTGATCAGGGTCTATATCGGTTCCTTCTGGTCCCACCCCCTCCTCATCCCTGACAACCGGAAGCTCTTTGAGGCTGAGGAACAGGACCTGTTCAGAGACATCCAGAGTCTGCCCCGAAATGCAGCCTTGCGCAAGCTCAATGACCTCATCAAGAGAGCCAGGCTGGCCAAGGTAAAGTCGGCAGAGAAAGCTGGGTCACAAGTTTTGGGGTTAGCTGCAAGAGCTGAGGGTTATTAACTTTCAACCACGGGCTGGTGCCTGCTTGCATGAGTGTCCTATAGCCGCTGCATCACAAGTTTCAGCCATGCCAACTCAGCCCCTGGGGGCAAGAGAATGTGGTAGCTGTGGTTGCAGGCTCTGGGTCAGATGGCCTAAGCCAACAGTTTACTGCCTGAGTGGTCCAGCCCCTGTCATGCCTTCGGTCCCCAGTGCCTTTTTCTGTGTCTATGTAATGAAATGACTGTTGGAAGATGACGTGGTACCTCGGGTTCTCAGCAGACGACGCTGCTGTCTGTAAGAAGCAGCAGTATCACCATCCCCATAACCATCGGGCCTTCCCTCCCCACATTCACACCTTGCCAGTGGGTAGAAAGAGGAATGGGTTTTGAAAGCAAGGGGGGCGGGGTGCAACAGGGGCATCTGGGAGGAAGTAGGGCAAAAACAATCATTACACAGGGGCAAGTCCGGAGTCTTGATTCGAAGGTTGTCCTCTGGCCCATTTGTCAGGTCCATGCCTACATCATCAGCTCTCTGAAGAAGGAAATGCCCTCAGTGTTTGGGAAGGACAACAAGAAGAAGGAGCTGGTGAACAACCTGGCAGATATCTATGGCCGGATCGAGCGGGAACACCAGATCTCTCCTGGGGACTTCCCCAACCTGAAGCGGATGCAGGTGATGAGGGTCAGGGCTCTAGGATCAGGGACAATGACACCCAGGCTGGCAGAAAATGGCAGAGGCTGCCTTCAGAGCTTGCGGGTGGGGGTGGGAAGGGGAGGGAACAATCTAGAATTAGAAGGCAGAGAGGTGACTCTAAACCTATCCTTTCTGCTGGACTGTTACTGTTCAATCATATCCAAGCCTGGGGGGACATACGGAGCCAGTGTTCCCAAGGGGTGCATGTGTGTGTTTTTTGGGGGGAGGGACTGACACTTGAAGTTTAAGGCCTCCAACTGTTAAAGCCCCTGCAGGCTTGACATCTTCACCACCACCTGTGTCATGGGACAAGTCACCTGACCAAGCTTCTCCTGGTCCTTGAGTGCCTAAGTTTATCCCTGAGCTCTCCCTTAGGAGCAGATGAGGACATACATCGCGGACAGGCAGGGAACTTGTATCTTTGAGGCTTACCGTAAGTCCCTCTCCTGGGCAGGAGCCATTAGTTGCTATCTATCATGCTTTTCCCCAAGGCAGTCCTCCTAGGAAGGCATTTTTATCTGCCCTTAATAGAAGAGAAAACCAAGGGCTCAGTGTTTTCCTAGCTGTAGCATTTACATACATTCCAAGTAGAAAAGCCAGGAGCTGTCCCCAAGATCCAAGCAAGTAGCCACTATGCCAAACCAACTGGATCCTCTCTCAGGCTCCCTCTCTTCATCTGTAAAACAGGGGCTACTGTTGGCTCACACCCATAATCACACAATCTGAGGATTGTGTTTTAAAGCCAGCCCAGGCTAGAAAGTCCATGAGACTCTTATCTCCAATAAACTACTCAGAAAAAAAACTAGAAATGGCGCTGTGGCTCAAGTGGTAGAGTTCTGACCTGAGCCAAAGAAGCTCAGGGACAGCACCCAGGCCCAGAGTTCAAGCCCCAGGACTGGCAAAAAAAAAAGTTCCTTGTACACAAATCCTGGGAGCTCTGTGTCCAGTCTACAAGGAGCATAGGACAGAGCAGTTACACAATGGCAAGCCTGGCTGGTAAGCACAAAGGACTGAATGATTCTGACAACTTCTTGAAATTCTATACTTTTTCAAAAGTAAAACAGTTTTAAATCAGGGAATTAGAAAGCAAAATAAGAGCTGTAGAAGCATTAGCAGTCGATGTTATTGTTGCTCTTCTTTTGATCGTTAAGCTGGGAACAAGTTTCTTAGTGTAGGATTTTAGAACATCACTGGTGTCTAGCTTCCTGTCTGATAAAAAAGAAAAAAGACATTCCAAGCATGCACTTTCCATGGAGCCATTCATTCATGAACCCGGCATGCGTTTCCGATGGCTTTAACATAATGTGGGTTTGTCAACTGCCATGGCTCAGAACACTTCAGCACCTTCACTTGTTCTGTTGGGACTTCATCAGTCTGTAAGCAGTCATTTGGGAAGGCAGCATTTGAAAGGGACCCAACAACCCCTATTTTAGTGTGGGAAATCCTTGTTGTTTTTAACTTACAGAATTTCGCCTTCTTTATTTACCAGTCTCATCATCTGTTCTGTAGTTAAGTATCACTGTAAACAGTGGAGAGTTGCCCATTGCCCCCATCCCACCCCGCCAGAAGACACTGAGACCCCTGTGTGGGAGCCCACTAGAGGTGAACAGGTTGAAAGACAGGAAGAATTATTCTAAAGGCCGTTGTCAGCTATATCCACAGCCCCTATCACCTCCTTGGCCCAGCCCTAGCATGGGAGGTGAGAAGTATCTAGCTAACGCTTGCTCTTGAAATGTAGCTATAAAGGTCTTCTGAATTTTTCTGCAATGAACTTGATGTGCTTGTGCATTGGCCTCTTCCCAGCATGCTGAGACTGCTGTGGCCAGACCAGGGCAGGAGCAACAGCTTTTTGCAGTCACTCTTTAGGGCTCAAGGAAAAGTTTAATGTTTAGTTCTAAAATCTCAAGGTCAGGCAAAGTAGAGCACCGCTCCTGGCATGTATTGAATGGCCATTTGAAGGCAAGTTAAGCAGCTTTTACGAAATCCACAAGCCTGCCTATGCCTGTATGTCATCTTCTCCCCTGGGGTGGGGGAAGGGTACAGAGGGTCCATCTTTGGAAAACTCTCTCCAAGCAATGCCAATGCATGAACAATGCTGATGAACCACAGATTTAGAATTGACCTTTGGCTTTTATTAGGATTTAGTTTTAGTTGTCATGGTTGTTTTTTTCCAAACTGTGGGTAGAATGTAACTTCCCTCAGAGGGCTTGGGGTGGGGGAATAAGGAAGTAAACAAGGAGAGCAGATAGCAAAAGAACTTACTCTATTTTTCAAGTCTACAGAGACCCATAAGACTCAAGACTCAGAGAGGCCCAGCCTAATTAATTAGGCACCATTCCATAGCCAAATCTAACTTTAAAAGGAATCCAAATGAATAGATGAAACCAGTAGTTATTAAAATTCTTTCTTCTCCACCCCCTGTACCTGTTCTCTTCTTGTCTGAAAACCTCTGTCCTCCTCCCCTCTCAGATCTTTGTGATGTAGATCAACGTAGCCTCTAGGTCCCACTCCTTTCACTGGGAAGGAGCTTGTCTATGAAGATTTCTATAATCCAGCATTAACAGGCAGCACACTCTCCACACACGGAAGCTCTCATTCCATTGTATTCTCTTCCTACTTTCTTATCTCTCTCTTTCTAGGACCAGCTGCAAGCTCAAGACTTTAGCAAATTTCAGCCATTGAAGAGCAAGCTACTAGAGGTGGTAGATGACATGCTGGCGCATGATATCGCCCAGCTCATGGTGCTGGTGCGCCAGGAGGAGACCCAGCGGCCAGTCCAGATGGTGAAGGGTGGAGCATTCGAGGGTACCCTGCACGGCCCTTTTGGGCATGGCTATGGAGAGGGAGCTGGCGAGGGCATTGACGACGCTGAGTGGGTGGTAGCCCGCGACAAGCCCATGTATGACGAGATCTTCTACACCCTGTCCCCTGTGGATGGCAAGATCACAGGCGCTAATGCCAAGAAGGAGATGGTGCGCTCCAAACTGCCCAACAGTGTTCTGGGCAAGATCTGGAAGCTGGCCGACATCGACAAGGACGGCATGTTGGATGATGAAGAATTCGCCCTGGCCAACCACCTCATCAAGGTCAAGCTGGAGGGGCATGAGCTGCCCAACGAGTTGCCCGCTCACCTTCTGCCTCCATCCAAGAGGAAAGTGGCTGAGTGATGGGGGCTGCAGACAGAAGGAGACTGGCGTGGTGACCGCGTGTGCCCACACATGTACACACACACACACACACACACACACACACACACCCTTGACAGTTACACCGTAGCTGAGAATGGACAGCGATCCCCATATTTTCCGGCTGCACCTTGTTTGGACAGCTCTCTTGAGTGCTCAGGATTGGTAGAAAGACAGCAGTAACCCCACAGTCCTGAGGCCATTCACTGGCTGATAAATGGCCCACCCAGCCCCGCAATGTCCCCACGCCTGAGCTCTGAGCTTTTCATTTCAAAGGCAATTTACTTTCTTTACTGTGCTTGTATTTTTCCCTTTTTGGCTTCCTAATAAGAAATCTACTCAGGGGCTGGGAGATGTGAGGGAAGGGGCAGCTGTGGGAAGGAGGGTTGAGCTGAGGAGCATCTTCCAGGGCCCTGGGTCCCAGACCTGAGGAGCCATTGGCCAGTGTTCTGTGCTCTCTCCAAACCTAAGGCTGTGTCTTCCTCAGTAAGCCTGGCTTTGAGCTCTGCCTGCACTTCATTTTAAAGAATTCCAGAGGGGAAAGAGAAGAGATAAACTTGGTAGGAAAAAGCAAGGAAGCCACACTGTGGTCTTCTTGAAACACATGGTGATTTCTGGACCATGAGTTTTGTCTGGGTTCATGTTCCTCCTGGGCTGTGATATTTGGAAGGTCATACTTGACTCACATGTACTCAGGCCCTCCGGTGTGCCAGGAGCTGTATTAGGTACTTTATAGACATTATCCTTCAATAAAGCTCCAGGTATTGCCCACCCATCTCCTAGCATATAAAGAACCTACGATGCAGAAGAGTTTGGGTGGTCTTCAAAATGCACACCAGAATGCACAAGAATTGGGAACCAGGGCCTCAGACCTGCAGACTGCCCCCGTGCCGTGATATGTGCAGGACCCCAGCATTGCTTCCCTGTAATGAGCCACAGAGAACAAGCTGAGCACGTATTCTCCCTCTTAGCCTCTGAGAGCAGGCAGGTGAAGGAGAAGGGCCCGCTAACATTTGGTGGGCAATCAGTTTGCCCATCTGTCACCTCCAAGAAGTAAACTGTGCCTTCTGGCTCTGCACCTCATATTCTTAGCATCACAGGAGTCCAACATGCCAGCAGGAGAGTGGGCTGTCCTGCTGGGTGCTGTTTGTGCCAGTCCCTTCTTGGCCTCCCACTCATCATTAGCTTGAACCAGCCCAGCTCGAACGCAGCCACTGGCTCTCATCAAATAGTAACTGTGCTCATTGTCAGAAGGCTAACTTGAGAAGTTTGTGTTGCAGTTCCCTCCAGGGTCTTGGGGACTGCTGTGTCCTTGGTGAAATTCCCACCATACTCAATGCCCTATGCCTCCTTCGTGGCCTTTCCCTTGGCTTGCTTTGTGGCCACTGATAAAGTGACTTTGTCTGCTATGCACCTACCAGGATGGAAAACAAAACAAATATAACTTATTTTATATCTATGTTCAGATTATATAGAAAATATTCTATGTATCTATGAGGTGGTTACTACTGCAGTGTGTTTGTCATTAGTATCCATGGTAATACAGCACATTTATCCTTTAGTACCCATTTGGTCATAGAGCATCATTCCATGGGCTGGGTTCTTCCTTGGGATGTCAGGTGATGTCTTTGGAAGGAAATGCTCACTGTGGCTACTCAAAGGCCAGCATTTATAGTGGTTCATTGGCCCCAGTTTCCTCCTTGTCTGGTAAATGGCCTAAACCAAACTGACGGGGCCTCCACTCCCAGCCCCGCTAAGGTGGAAATGGTCTCTAAACCTGTGGGTTTCCTTCTACAAATACATTTCTCTTTCATGTGAAATGAAGGAAGGCCAAGGAATAAAGGTCATACTCTCTGAAGAGCCCCAAAGTGTCAACCTCAGCAGAGGTACCATTTTTCTATAAAATAATAAAGAAATAGCAGAGGAAGGTAAAGACAAGAAGTGAGTCAGAGGATTGCCATTCAAGTCTAGCCGAGGCATGGAACTCCATCATAACTCATGTCTGGGTATAGTGGCATGTGCCTATCATCCAAACTACAAGGGAGGCACAAACACTGGGCGCTGTAGTACACGCCTGTCATCCCAGCAACAAAGAGAAGCACAAATAGGACAATCGAAGTCCAGGTATAAAGTAAGACCATATCTTGACAACCAACACAAAGCAAGGGCTGGTGGAATGGCTTGAACAGTGGTAGAGTTCCTGTTTAGTAAGAAGAAAGCCCTGAGTTCAAACTCCAGTACTGCCAAAAAGGAGGAGAAGGGATGTGAGTTCCTCTTCCCAGCATTCCCTTGGACACACTGTATTACTGCTCTTCAACATCTCCCTTTCTCTTCCCCTTCATCTAAAACTATCCAAGAAGGATCTGTGAGGCAATGGGATTCCATGTTTATTCTGTTCCCCACTCCCTGGAAAAAGAGGCTGATGACAGATTTTTGCTCCAGCTGCCTTGGCCTACTGAGCCCTTCCTGGTTCTGAGGGCTGGGGATATCTCAGCCTGGGTAATACTTTACATGGAAAGTGGAGCCATGTCATAACTGTCCCATATACAAGAACCTCTAGGAAAGTCATTCTGTTCCTCTCTCCCCCATACTCTCAACCTGGACCATGAAGTTGATTGATGAGGCAAAAACTCCATACTACCAACCCAATCAAGGCTGCCCTTTTGCAGAGTTAAATCATGATCCGAGAACAGTCATGCATGTGGCACTGTGTGGTATAATAGGACATGTTTGCCAAGTGGTGAGAGGTAACCTTGAGTCATTCCCCCACCCATTTGGTTTCCTCTGTTCCAAAAACCTATAACTGAGCTAGGTCAGAAGAACTCTCAGAACTATCTGGGGGAGCAAGCAGGCTTGTTCATTCAATATGAGATGCTAATTAACTATACATATTTGGAAGCTATAATTAATTTGTCCATTTACCCATTTGGAAGCTATAATTAATTTGTCCATCCATCCACCCATCCATCCTTCAGTCAAAAGACACTGAGCAATCATAGAAAAGACTCTTGAGGAAAATCTAGAGACTCATTCCTTAAGAACACTTAATGAAAATCTACTTGGGTGGTGTGGACAATCTTAGATACATCCAAATGACTTCCTAGAAGATCAGAGAGCTCAAATGCTAGTGGGGAATGAGGTATTTATACAAAGATTGGTAATGCAAGGAAAGATGTGAAAAAAGGGTACAGGCAACATGAGAGTGACAGGGATGATGATCAGAGGAAGCTAGAGAACTGGGACAGAGGAATAACAGGGATAAATTTTTGGGCAGAACTTCTTTCCTCCATTACTGGAAGAAGATGGCAGGGGGAGGGGCAATTATACAAAACTAAATACAGCCTTCCTAACTTAACAAGTCATGGCAAACTCAGAACCACTGATATATTTGAGGAAAAGAATGATTAGAATTTTGCCTTTGGGGACTTTGCTAGTTTTCACAGATCATTTTCAAGTGAAAAATTTTGTCCATATCTTCAAGGTTGAATTCAGTGCCCAGAGAAAAAATAGAAATGGTGATGGAAGAATGTCAGCTATCCCAGCAATGAGGGAGCAGTTGGAGAGCTATGATCCTCCTAATTAGGGCTGTTTACCAAGTTGTGGTTTTCCTGTCCTCTGCCACCCAGGGGGGATTGAGTGCCTCCCCGCATCTTAAGTTATATGGGCTATGTGACTTGTTTGGACCAGTGAGACAAGGATAATAAGCCACTTTTCCCTGTCTTGCAAGAAAGCCTTTGCCATATTCTGGTTTTCCTGCCTCATCGGCAATGTCCATGAGCGCAAAAGTGAGGATGTGGAGTCCTCAATTTCTCTAAAATCTTCTCCTGACCTACAGGGACAGGTGTCATGAATAAGATACCTGCTCTAGTCATTTTAAGTCATTGATGGTCATAGGCTATTTATTTCCAACCATAACCTTTCCCATCATGACCTGGAGACTTGGTAAGCTCTTTCTTAGAACAGAGGAAATACCAAGCTCCTGCCTCCTTAAGCACTGAGGCTACCTGAAACTGAAGGAATGGATGGTTTGTGTCAGGTCTTCCAGTACCTGAGCCATATTCTGCCACGTCCCAGAGCCTGACTCTTCATCATCACTCTCTGTGCATGAAAAAAGTACATTTACAGTGTCAAACATGGATAAGCTTTGCTCTCTCTAGGAATCTAGGCAGTAGGAAATGAGCATGTGTCTGCCTAGGGCTACCAAGGGACAAGTATATAGGTTGGAATACATAAAACTACAATTCCCAAACATCCTTGCAGCCAGGTTCAGGATGTGACTTTAGATCTTGCCTATCAGACACACTCATGGGAGACCACATAGCACTAGAAATGGTTATCTACCATGTGTGCTTGTCCAGGGAGACAGTATTGTTAAAATACACAGTGGGAACCTGGGCCCACAGGAAGAATTACTAGATTGTGCCGGGCTGGGGGCTGGGCCAGATGGAGGAGTTATACTGAAATGATACTTGCTGGGAAAAGCTTGTTTCTCTTTCTTTTCAGAAACAGAAGATGACCCTGGGAAATTTCAAAGCAATAATAACTTTCTAAGAATCCACAAGGATGATGAGTATACTTGGACCCTCAAGGGTGCAAAATGAGGGCATGTTAGAAGTAGTAATTCTATCTCTATCTGTCAGCATTTCATGAAGGGCAGAGCCCCTTACCCTACCCCAGACAGTATCACTGACACATCAGGGTGGCAGCCATGGTCTGGGGATGGTTTGGCACATAAATACAAACATATACAGGAAGGAGTAGGCCCTGGGATAGCAGGTGATCTGAGTCCCAGCATTGACGCAAATCACGTGATGCTCTGTAATTTCATATATTCTTTCCCTATGAATATGAGGGAAATTGAGGTCATGTCAGTGTTTTGGAGCTATTGTGAGAATACAGGAGTTAACAGGTAGAAGAGCTCACCATTAACATCAACACCCTACACAGGTACATTTGTCTGTTGGCAGATGCTAGAAGAGGCAGGTGTCAGCAAGAGGTGGCAATCCTGTCTACAACAAAGACGGAAAGGTACAGAGGAGGAGGAGAGTCAGGAAATGTGTGGGGAGGGTCTGGGAAGAACCATGCTCAATGTTAATACCTGAAAGGTTCTCACAGATCTAAACATGAGCTAGAAGTTACCTGTGGTCCTGGACTACTTGAGGACTACTGTTGCCCAAGTAAATACACAGTCTGGAGTTTCTGCCTGGCCTCCCAGACACCTTGATAGAGTGCTGACAGAAGCTTGTGAAGATCTGGATGACTCATTGAGGTGGGTCCCAGTAGAGGTTGATAAGACATCCTGCCTCTAATAAAGACCACATAGGAACTTGAGAGGCGATGAAGGCAGGTCCTCCAAAATGGTGACTATATGACCCCGATGGGGAATACTTATTTTCACAGAAAGTGTCTGGACCACAGTGCTTTGTGAGTCAAGTCTCCTTTCTGCCAATTTCTTAAAACTTCAAGTGCTTCCTGTGGAGAGGTGACCTTCATTGCCTCCTCCTAATCCCATCACAGGCTAGGATTGGGATTTGGTTCACCATTGAAAGAATCAAGCTTGTAAGTGTCACAATGACAGGAATGAAATCGGACTCCAGTCCAGGCGTCCTTCTCCTTTCCTGTCTTCTTTTCTGCTCATCCCATCTAAGGAATGCATCACCTTCTTCCTTGGATTGGGTTTTCTGTCTTTGGTAGGCCACATACACACTCTCTCTCTCTCTCTCTCTCTCTCTCTCTCTCTCTCTCTCTCTCTCTCTCTCTCCTCTTGCCACCCTCCATGTTACTGCATATCCAGAGCAGGGTCTTACTATGAGACTATTAGCTGATCAGAAGAACAAAGAGACTGTGTGCCTCACCATGGGTTTCAGATGCTGCCACCCTGCCTCTGGTCACTCAAGTCTGAGTTTAACAAGAAAGCCTGGTTAGCCCAGGAGGAGACGTTCCTGTCAATCTGGCAGAGAGGTTGAAAGATCCATGTTGGGCAGGCATCTGGTCACAGCACTATGTGAACACCTGTTTCTATGCAGAATTCCTCACTAGACTTCGTGTGCTTTATGAATACCTCCATAGCTTTCTTGGCCTAGGGGGCAATTTTCCTCATCCCAGAAAAATCTGCAATGAAATGAAGAGATACAACTCACTGCAAAGAAAGCAGTGGGTGCTTCTTGCCCTGAACAGAGTGACCATTTCAGTCCCAGAGCTGCTGCAGCTTGTCCTCTAGATACCCCAGTGTGTCCAGAGCCACAGGAACCAAGGCCTGCGATAATGATGGCCCTGACCTCTCCAGCAACATTTCCTGGAACTTCTTGAGATGAAGAGAAAACAAGCAAACTTAACTCTGAGCTGTAGCCCTTGGCCAGATGTCATGTCTCAGCCACAGGGACAGGCTCAGTGCCGCGCCTGTCATCCTGATCTGGCAATTTATGTAAAAGAAGCCCTGCTGTACCCACCAAGGATTTCATTCTGACTCCTTGCCTGGATAATGACAAGTCTTCAAGCCAGGCTTTTCCAAGACACAATGCAAATACTCCCTCAAATGTGACACTCCAATGCCCACCACCACCA